CCTCCTCCTGCTCACGAACCCGATACCACACCACTCTCCATCGAAGACCACCGACTCTATCAGCAGCAGCTGGGGTGCCTATTGTTCACCGCCATCACGTGCCTGCCGGATCTCTCCTACGTCACAAGCCAGCTCGCACAGTACCTACGCCAACCTGAAGGGGAGAATCTGCTAGACCTGCGTCGAGCACTCCAATACTTCATCTCTACCTCCAACGTCCGACTCACCTACGAAGCTAACTTAACAGCTACTCTGCAGCTTCACGGCTACGTAGACGCGGACCATCCGGGAGATGTTGACAACAGACGCTCCCGCGCAGGTTTCATTTTTCAAATCCAACCTGCTCGACTCATCTCCTGGAATTCCCAGAAGCAGGAACTCATCGCTCTTTCGTCAGCCGAAGCTGAGTTCATCGCCGTCAACGCAGTTGTTCGCGAAGGGCTATACCTGATGGAGCTCCTACAAGAAGCGAACGTGACAATGAACGTGCACTTCACATTACTCTGCGACAATCAGAGCGGCATTAAGGTCGCGAACAAGCCCGGCTTCGTGAATTGCACGAAACACATCAGACTTCGTTAATTCTTTGTCAAGGACGAGAACGACAAAGGCAAAGTCAAGTTCACGTACTACCCAATTGGTGACATGGCAGCTGATTTCCTGACAAAGAAACTACCACGTCAAACACTACTCTGATCTCTGCGGGATCTTGAAGAAATCCCATGTGGCTCACCTCTGGAATGAAGGGGAGTGTTGGAATAACCAACGGTTATTATAACATTCCCAAAGGTTCGACAAAACGCATCACCTCATAACGAGGCAAGCATACATGTACCAGTATCGCAATATGCTCGCATAAAGCACGCGACAGCTCGAGAGTCACTCGACAGTCAACAGTCGCTAATAGTCAACGGTTGCGACTGTTGACCATCCGGCAACCGCATTAGAGGTTACGCAATGCAACATGGTAACTGTCGAGAATGACAAAAGTAGCAGCTACTGTAGCTATGTAATACAGTTAATAAGGGAATGTACCCCTCAGAGTACATGGCTAGCTAGTTTGCTATTTAATCCCTTGTACTCCTATCTCATAATCAGATTTTTCTCTTTCAATTATCATTAACAAGGTCACTACAAGACTTTTTTCTCTTCCTACAACTTAGCAAGTCTTATCGTGTCCACTACGATTCCCGGTTATATCATCAGAGCACACCCCCCTTATTCCGTTCGTGTGTTGGCAGCATTTTGAGCCCTGATGGGTTGGAATGACAACTTTCCCAGCCGGCGCACATTATGAGGCACATCCCACTCTTTAGTCAGATTTACATCAGAGTTGGGGAAAATATTACTCTCTGACGTCTCTTTTTTTTTTTTTTTTTTCCCCCAAGGTATAGGGTTATTGTGACGAATCAGAGTAAGGCTCAAGAACAACCCTGGATTTCAAAGTTGGTAAAAAATCTACCCTGGGAATCACAGTACATAAAATCCAAAAGTAGGCCCTGGTACTGAGTTGCATGTTAAAGAGTACACAAAATCCCTCGACACTTAGGGCGTGTCTCTCTTTTTTTTTTTCTATGTTTTTCCGGACTGTCCACTTGTATCGAAACGGACGGTCCCATTAGCGAGTACCGGACAGTCCGATTCAAAATTTTGAAACATCAGATCGTCCGAAGGCAAAACTGTCACTTTTTCCAACATCGCAAATTTCTGACTTACTGTAGCATCGCTAGAGCCACTGTACCATCGTAACCTCAGTCACACACACTCGCAATTTTCGCCATGACCCCTTGCGGCGCGATTCCAGAAAAGCTCAACCACCAAGCACATCACACCACTCGATACATTGAAAACAGCACACTGATAGACAGTGGTGTTGGGTGTGGTGTTGGTCGGTCGAGCGTTGTCGTTTCCGCTAGAGTGCTCCATTGCGGGCTGGTTGTGATGGTTGTGGGCTTTGTAGTGTCGGTTCAATGTTCAGGCGCGCGTCGCGCGCCACAAATAATTTGAACATGCGACTCGGTGTAATATTCCAGAGTTGTTCGCGCGCCAACCACGTGTCAGAACTGTGCTTCTGGCCGTTTGCATTTCGAAATGACAGATGTTCACAATGTGAACCGTTGCTTAGAGGGAAAAGTGACGCGATGGTTCGAACTCTTCGCGATGTCGCATAGATTTTCGCTAAACTATTGCGAATTTGTACGAAAATGGTATTTTTTTTTTCCGGCAAAACGGACAGTCCACGGTTCGAACCGCCAGGAGCAAAAAAGAGACACACACTTAGCTTGTACTACCCCCTTGACCTAATCTCATCATTACGCTTTAACTCTAATAGGTAGGCTAGGTTGCTTAGAGTGAGGTATTGTGTAGAGAGTACAATATTATTGATATGAACCTGTATGCCATTCTGCTAGTCATTGTGTTCAGAATATTTGAGAATCAGATCTAAGATGGTTGAACAATGGAGTGTTGAACAAGTGAAAAGCAGGTGTACGAAAATGAAGTACAAAAACCCTATCTGACGAATAATGAAGCGGCTTATACGGTATAACCCCCGCTGTACCCCATTGCTACACGTCAGAACCCTCCCCATCCACGTCCATTCATGTCATCAGAGGAGCCCGTCCCACGCGACGTCCAGAGAACCCGGTTTTCCTTGGATGACAAGGCCAGAGCTAAATATTACTGTTGCGCCGATTGAGGATCTGGCGTGTGCTTCCATGTCATGAACAATATTCTTGATGTAAGCAATTTTAGAGTGGATAGGGTTTGTAAGTCCGCATTTCCACAATAGACTCTAGTGTCGAGTTGTGTTCCCAGTTCGCACCGAAAAACCAGAACTTGCCTTCTGCAGTCCCTCGCTTGTCGCATCCCTTTTTCGGGCCGAGGTCTCCATGCCGGTTTCTACCCCTGTGGAAACAAGGCTGTGTAACACAGATGGTGCTGCGTAGCACGTGTGAAATGGCCAGAGTTCATCCTGCCAGTCCCCACTGCCCTTCTCTCGTGCGTGAAGATGCGCTTCTAGAGAGTGCTCAAGTCACCCCCTTACTGTGCCACTGGTTACAGGTAGCTCGGGCAGCATGTGCAGATCACGCCATTGGCTACACGGCTTCAACCAAAAAAGATCCTCCCACTGCACTGCGTCATGCACACCTTTTCCTTCCCTAATCTCCTCCCTCGTGCAACATTATTCTCCTCTCCAACAGATTCCCTTCCCACCACAACTGCTTGCACCCTCTTCAACCGTATTTCATTGTTTTGTATCTCATGATCCATCCCACTGACGTTCCCATATCATGCTACTTCAACATAGGCAGCCATCACATGTCCCTGACCGGCCTCAACTCAGCTGTTTCCATGATTTGGTCTGCTCCATTTCTTGCTTTATCATTCACTTTGCCTGACCAGACCAGCTCAATTGCAGCCGTAGGATTCGTCATGCAGTGACCGATCCATCGTCGATTGTCATATCACATTGTTCTCCCTTCCGTTTCCGCTCCACACTCACTGGTCTTCCCTCGCCCTCTGGAAAGCACAGAACCTCACCTCATCAGCCTCCCTGGTCCATTGTTCACGGCTCTTTTCGCCATATTGGCGACCCTCTTCCCATTAGTTAACTATACTCCTACACCCGCTCGTCCTGATCAACCGTTCTGATCCGAGGGAATTCGACTCTTGTATTTTGACGGAGCAGTGTCGCATCAGCGACCAACTTTGACCTAACTTGTGCCGCCAGAGCTCCTGATTCGTGATTCTTAATTTCACATATCGTCGTACTCAATGGCGTCGCTTCTCGCAGCGGCATTGCCGTCCCTGCAGTGCATGTCCAGCACGCGAGTCGCCTCCGCTGACGCATTCGAATCGCACGGCCCCACGGTCCTTTCTTCTGCCGCTCTCGGCCTAACGTCGGGTTCAGGCTCGGCGGCGAGCGCCGCACTGACCGCAGCTTCGGCATCAGGCTCGGGAGCAGGTTCGGTGAAGCTGATTTCCGTGGTCGGCGAATCTGGTAATCTGGTTTCACAAGGAATCGCGTGTGCGCATGGCGATGGGAGGGGCGGGAAGCGCGCCAAGTACATGGAGAAGCATCAAGCGGAGAAACATATCGCGGAGAAGCATCACCCGGGCGGGATCAGCTTCCAGGTGCGGTACAGCAGCTTCCAGGTTCGGTACAGCAGCTTCCAGGTTCGGTACAGCAGGTACAGCAGCAGAAAACATCACAGCTGGTCCTCTTGTCGTGCGGTGAGAACAGAACGAACAAACTGTTCTCTCACGTGCCGCCGCCGGCTGAGTAGACTCGCTATTCCCGCGGTTCTGGCGGCATCGCGAGGCGTGCTGGCGGGAATGCAGGGGTCCGTCGGGCTGTCGTGATGCGACTGGGGGTGCGATCGCGTGGACAGGGGTGGCGCACAGATTGATCCGCATTTCTGGAGTAATGACGCGCGCTGGCGTAGTCACGCTCGCAGTCGCCACGGCTCCAGACACACAGAATCCAAAGAGACCGCTTTTTCCATCCACTCATACCGCCACGCCTGCCATTTGAGAGTTCCGTCTCACTGGTCTCAATGGTCTCCCACTCGCGTCCGCTTCACATCCATGTCCCAATGGTATCAGGGTCATCCCTGACCCAATGGTTGGCCATTCTTTTGCTTCACCCCTAGTCCATCCTCAACCCCCCTCGTCCGTTTGACATTTCTCAATGGTCCCCGGGTCATCTGTGGCCAGTTTGTGGCCATTCCTAATCCACTGCTCAGCCCTAATCCGTTCCCAGTTCCCCCACTTCCCCCGATCCATGTCCAGCCGTTCCACATCGCATGCGTTGCCTCTCTGATTTTCATTTCCGTTCCCTGTCCAATTTTCGTTGAAATCCTTTCCTCCCGCCACTCTCCCCGGTCGATCCGTCGCCACTCATCCCGTCTAAACCATCCTCCGCCACGCCTACCCCTTCAAACTCCCCTTCCGCTCAGATCGATTCCGCCGCCACCCCTTCCGCGCCGCCTGCGCCCATGGCGCCTCCGCCTGACCGCATCTCCGCCAAACACGCCGCGAAGCCCGCCGCTCCTGGCGGTGGTTGGGCGCATGTTTCTCTCGATCGCGCAACCGCGCCGCATGCTTCAACGCCGGGGGAACCGGCGGCGGCGACGCTTGCGGACTGTCACCCCCCGTACAGTCGCATCCCACATTGTCACAACCAAGGCAGCGGGGAGGATCAGCTTTCCCCGTTAGTGTCACGCGAGGCCGTCGCGGAAGCGAGCCCGCTCGGGCTGACGCTTCGCAAGACGCCGTCGCTGGTGGAGTTCATTTCGCACAGGCTATCGCAGGGCGCTGGCGACACATCTGGCGACGCTGCTGGCGACGGTGCCGACGACAGGGCGGGCGACGGCTCTGACGACGTGGATATGACAGAAGAGGGGCGGGCGGGCGTGCCGAGCGGCGGAGAAGGCAGAGAACCGGCGGGGCCGGGGCATACGATGTGCGGAGGCGACGCGCAGCGGACGGCACGCGGGATGGGCGGAGGGGGAATGAACAGCAGCAGTAGCAGTAGCAGCAGCGAGGCGGACCTGGGCGGCGGCGGGATGGCGCAGGGCAGCAGCGCGCGGGGGAATGAAATCCGCACGGGGGACAAGCCTGTCCGCCCCAATAGCGCTCCCGCGCACCAGCACGCGCAGGAGCAGGGGCGCGCGCAGGGCAAGGGGATACCGGCGCTAGTGGCGTTCGGCGGAGGCGCAACCGCGGCGGACGGGGCTTTCGCGTCCCCCGATGGCGCGCTGATGGCGGAGGGCGCGCTCGCGTCGTTCAGCGCGCCGTTCCCGGCGCTGCCGGCGCCGCCGTCGGACAAGCTGAAGGCGTCCAACTTCCCCGCGACGCGCATGACCATCGGCTCCTGGGAGGTGCGCGCGGGGGTCGGCTGTAGCGCGGATGTAGCGCGGATGGATGGATCGCGGCTGTATCGCGGATGTAGCGGGCATGAGGATCTGTAGGCAGGACTGTGTCGCGGAAGGCGGAATGTCGCGAGTGTGCGAGCATTCCCGCGCATGGCCGCATGGTCTGAAGTTCAAGTCCCCCCTCAATACTGCTAAACCCTCCCTAAACCTCTGTCGACGCTGCCCCTCATCCCTCACCTCCTTTCTCCCGCCCTCACCTCACCCTCTCCCCCCCCCCAACTCCTCCCCCTTCCCCGTCCTTCCCCCGTTCCCACCCTTCTCCACCGCCCCTGTCCGCCCAACCTTCTTCCCCCCCCTCCACGCGCACCAGAGGCGCAGCAAGTACGAGGGCGATCTGGTGGCCAAGTGTTACTTCGCGAAGCGCAAGCTGGTGTGGGAGGTGCTGGAGGGCGGGCTGAAGAGCAAGGTCGAGGTGCAGTGGGGCGACATCGCCTCCCTGCGCGCCTGCACCGCCAAGGGCCAGCCTGGCGTTCTCGAGATCGAGGTACGCGGATGGAGCGGGGAATGCGAGGAGAGGGGCGGGGACGGAGAAAGGGGCGGGGGGGCTCTGAGGTTTGGCCACGCAGAGAGGGGCGGGGGCGGTGGGAAGGCAAGTACGGGCATGTTGCGATGCAGGCGGAGGGATTGTCTGTGGGAGCCGGTCGGTTGGCCTCGCCATGGGTGCTCCTGTCGCCGCTCACGGAGCCTCTCTTTGCGCCTTGTCCTCCTGCACCTGCTGTCTCAACACCTCTTCACCCCTCCTCTGCCCCCCACTCCCTCACATTTCTCCCTTGGTCCTCCTCTCCTCGTTTTCTCACTCCGTTGCTCCGTCTCTCCCACTAACCCCCTCTGCCTCTCCCCTTTCCCTCCCCGCGATCCCCCCCCCCCCCCCCCCCCCCCCCCCCCCGGCTCTTCCTCCTCCTCCCCCCTCCCGCGTCCAGGTGTCGCGCCCCCCCCAGTTTTTCAAGGAGATGAATCCGCAGCCGCGCCGCCACACGCTCTGGCAGTCAACGCCCGACTTCACCGCCGGCCAGGCCAACTCCTTCAGGTGAAACACCAGGCGCTTCAGGTGAAAACAACAGTCGTGTTCAGGTGAAACCTCACCGATGCCACTGCTTGTTCAGTCTGCTCTGCTCAGCTCACTGTCGCCAGCCTCGCACACCTCAAGTCCCCCTCGCCCCTCCTCCAGTTCCTCTCCCCTTGCATCCACTGTGAGCATGCAGCTGAGAGCGTATCATTTATCATTGCTCCTCCATCCCCATGCCTCTTTTCCCCCTTCCCCATTCCCCCTTCCTCTTCCCCCTGCCCCGTCTCTCAATCTCCCTTCCTCCTGTCCCTGCGCGCTGCGAGCACGGCACATGGTGGAATTCGCAGAGGGCGTGCTGAGCAAGCACCTGCACAAGCTGCTCGCACGCCTAACTCCTTTCCCCTTCCCTCCTCCCCCTGTGCCTCGCGTGCCCATCTCTCTCATGTGTTTCTTGTGCCCCTTGTGCCGTCCCCCCAGACGGCACGTGGTGGAGTTCGCAGAGGGCGTGCTGAACAAGCACCTGCACAAGCTGCTCGCCTCCGACCCGCGCCTGCGTGACCTTGCTCACGGCACCTCGCACGGCCAGCACTCGCACGCGGGCCAGATGGGGCAGGGCGGGCAAGGGAGCACGCACATGGCCATGCATGCGCGCAACCATGCCCACGCGCACGCATATGGCAGAGATGTGCTGCAGCGGTCGCCACACAAGGCAGGCGTGGGGGCCATGGGGGCGGGCGGGGCGATGGAGGGCGTGATGAGGTACGGCTACGGCAAGCCTGCTGGGCCGCACAGTGCTCTGCCATATGGCTCACCTGGCGCGCATGCAGACCCGCTCCTGCCCCTCTCGCACGCCCATGCCCCCCCCCATGCACGCACACATGGCTGTGCGTATCCCCATTCCCACGCCCACTCCCATGCGCATGCGGGTGCGGTTGGGAAGCAGAGCGGAGTGGGCGAGGAGGGGGAGGTGGCGGGGCAGGGGAAGGCAAGGCAGGGAGCAGCACACGTGGCGCCACCATACCCCATGCTGCCTGCTGGCTTCTTCCCGCCTCCGCCCCTGCCTCAGGTAGCCTCGCATCTTTCCCTCCCACTCGTCGTCCCTTGTATCAATGATCCACATGCATACAAGGGAGACGCTACAGCAAAGGTCCTACACACCTACCGCTCGGTCCCCAAGGGTCCCGAGCGGGGGCTCTAGGACCTCCCTCCTGTTCTCCCACCCTCTCTAATGGTCCGTTCATTGATATTAAGAAAATACATTCATGCATGAATCTGAAGCTAACGAACAAATGCTAACAACATCAACATTAACCAACCAGGTACCAATCCAGCAGTCTAGATCTCTCCAGGGGGCTCTAGAACCGCAAAACAATCACCTAGGACCAGCTCTTCCTGGACCCCTCCCACTGGAGGGTTTTCTGCCACGGCTGCAAGGCTCGATTTCATGAGGTACCCCACTGATTGGGCCCTCTGCAGCGCCACCGACCATCGCTGCCGGAATTGGTGAAGTAGTTTAGCCGCCTGGTAAGAGTGGGGGTCCGCATTGAAGTGGCGGCGTGCTGCCGTGTCCGCCAAAAGTTTCAAGAAAACTGGAACCTCGGCAAACGGGCAGCCGTACGGTCTCCCTCTCCCTCTCCCGTTACCTCTCCCTCTCCCTCTTCCTCTCCCTTCTCTTCCTCTCCCTCTTCCTCTCCCTTTTCTCTCCCTTACTTTCCTCTTCCCTTTCCCCCTCCTTGTCCTGTTCTGGTTCTCTCCCTCCCTCCATTTCCCTCTTTCCCCCTCCCTCCCTCTTGCTTCGATCCACTCACTCTCTCTCATCGTTTCTCCTCCATTTGTACTCCTCTCTCCTCTCTCCTCTCTCTCCTCTCCCTCTCTCTCCCCTTCCTCTCCCCTGTCATCAATTATTGCCACTCAACTCTCTCTCCCTTCCCCCCTTGTCCTCCCCCGCCCCTGTCCTCCCCTCTGTCCCCACTCCCCTCCCCCCCGTCCCTACAGACCTTCTTCCCTCCGCCCCCTATCATGCCGCCCTTCCCCACGCACCACCTGCCACCACCCCCCTCAACGCTTTCACCACCAGCATCAGCATCAGCAACAGCATCAGCATCAGCAACAGGGAGCAGAGCAGCATCAACGCGTGCAGCAGCAGACCCCCGCTCGCCCCTCTCTGCGCCCTTCCCTCCCTTCCCCTACTTCCCCTCCCACCTCTACCCTCCTCCCCCCTACCTTCCCGGTGGTTACATGAGCAACTCGTACGATGGGGAGCAGGAGGAGGAAGAGGAGGAGGAGGAGGAAGAGGAGGAGGATGGAGGGGAATGAGGAGGGGGAAAGAGTGACTACGGAAAGGAATGAGAAGGGAGAGCGGGGAAACGGTGTGAGGGGCGAGGGAGACGAGGGGGAAGAGGAAGGGGGCAGTGGAGGAAGGTGTAGCAGTGGAGGGGCGGCAGGTGTGGGAGGAAGGGGCGGGGGTGAGAAGCATGGGGGCAAGGGCCGCTCGCTCATGGATATCTCCTTCCCTTCACCTGCCGGTGAGTCCTCTCCTTCACGCCATGCCAACGCCTTCTCCCCCATATCCTTTCCATCTCGTTCCGTGCTCTTGTATCGCCGCCCCCTCTTGCCCCTTGCCACGGCACGTGTCAGCTGGTTTCACGCACCTCTGCTCCACTCTCCTCCCTCATATCATATCCTTCTCTCATATCTCCTCTCCATCCCCCTTTGTATTTCCCCGCACGCCCCCACCAGCAGCACGCTACCCCCACCTGCCCCACCCGCCCATGTGGCCCACCCACGTGGGCCTCCCCCCCGCTGCCTTCTGGCCGCCCTTCCCCCCTCCTCCCTACCCTGCCTTCCCTCCCCCCGCCCCTGCTGCCGCACCACCACCCCACATGCATCCCCATGCCACGCGCATGCACCCCATGCACTCCGCACCGCCCATGCACACACACCCCATGCCCGCCCCTGCCATGGCCCTCCACCACGCCTTGCTGCCACCAGCCCCGCACCCTGCACACTGCCACATCCCTACACCCATGGGTCCCACACACATGCACACAGACATGCACACGCCCACCCACATGCGCAGCAGCAGCTTGAGCAGCGGGCGGGCTTCTGTGCGGAGTGATTTAGGCGTGCAGAGCACCAGCAGCAACAGCAACACGGCCATGCCGGCCACTAGCATCAACACGAGCAACAACAACGGCGACAGCAAGAGTAAGAACGGCAGCAAGAATGTCACGGGCAGCAACGGGTTCCCCAGCAGCAGCAACTGCAACATTCCCGTTAGCAGCACCAGCAACAGCGGCATGGGGAGTGGTGGCCTGAGAGAAAGCTCCTCCCCGATCCCCTCGGCTTTTCTGGAGGAGGTGTCATCCATGTTCTGCGACCCGCTTCCGTTTCACTAACCGATTCAACCACACGCAAGCGGCACATTTTAACGAGTGGTTTCCACTCCACATTGACAAGTGCAAGATTCTACTGTGCAGGCTACCAATACCGGTACCTGCCTATGGCTTGTTCTGCCTGCCTGCTCACACATTGTGGCTCATCCTTTTGCCTCTAACCAATCATCACGTCTCCAATTCTCCCCATTGGCTGCTACTGTGGTTCAAGAAAGCCGGTGAATGCCGGTCCTGCGGCAGTACATTTGATTACAGCTTTTGTTTCTGATATTGGTTCCCCCAACCATGGTTTTGACACCAGAATCAAAGGTGGGACACACTTTGTCTTGTTCCTCTCCAATTTTAACCCAATTTTTTGGGGTTCTTCAAGGAAAAAGAGGGAGCATGCCCTTTTCCTTCAGCTTTGCTCAGCTGGTCGTTGATTGATAGACGCGAGCACAAAGTGTACGGTTAAGTTTCAATAGTGTACGTTCCTGGCATAGCCTCATAAATGTATAACATGTTGAACTTCATTTGATGTTTAGGTTTTGTAGGCTACAGTGGGGTAGCCACTAAGGGGTACAACCCCTTTAGGGTTTCATATTTGTATCCCGTTCTTCTCTTAGTTCATCATTCCTGCTTCTAGTTCTGACATGGTTTCAGAGCAGGTCCTAACCTAGGACCGCGTTCTTAGGGCCCACCGTACCGCGCTACCCCACGAGTCGCACCTACTACTGTCGCCCTACCCTGCCCTGCGTTGTGCTGCTGCGCACGCCCTGCCCTGCCCTGCCCGCGCGCTGCTCGCTGCTGCGCGCCGTGCCCTGCCCGCGCGCCTTTTTTTCAGCCGCGCGCCCTGCCCTACCCTCGCGCCGCGCTGCCTTACCCGCGCGCCGCGCACCCGCAGCTGCACGCAGTGCCCTGCCTGTGCGCAGCCACCGCGCCCCACGCACTGCGCTGCCCGTCGCCGCGCGTGCCCTGCCCGTGCGCTGCCCGCCGCAGCCGCGCACTGCCCTGCCCGTGCGCCGCCGCCGCGCCCCACGCACAGCGCCGCCCGTTGTTGGGCTGAGAAAACCCTTAGGATCTTTGCAGGACTAAAATCTGGGTAGGACTTGTTGTAATTGCGGAAGCGTTTTGATGAGGATATTGAACCACCTTGCGCTGGTGTGTGAGGGCAAAGTAGATTGATTAAAACAAGGAGATACAAGGTTTTTATAAGAGTACAAGGAATATGAAAAGATGCAACTAATAATTGTTTTACTGTTGCTGTTGCGGTTCGATACAGTGACGACTCGGGCAACCGCTCAATAACGAGTCGGTTGTGTGTCCTTGCTGTCGTGCTGTACTTGTCAGGTCAAAGGTCGCTTGACCTTTGACTTGGCAGAACGAGGCATCAAGCGACTCATCTCCCTCCCCTACGCTCATCAACAGCAAGGCGTGGCAGAAAGGATGAACAGGACCCTCCAGAACACCATGCGCAAACTGCTACGTGGCATGCGGCTACCCAACCACCAGTGGCCCGAAGCAATGGACCACGCTGTGATGCTGCACAACTTGCTCTCGTCATCATCGCTCCCGAACAACGCATCACCGCATCTGCTGTGGACAGGAAAATTGGGCAGCACAAAAATGTTGAGAGTTTTCGGCTGCATGGTACAGTACCGACCCCCATCTGCACGAGCCGGCCGATTCTCCCAACGCGCACAGTGGGGAGTACACCTGGGCATCGAAAAACATTACAACGCATGGAAAATCTTCGACATCAATACGAAGGAAACAGTGGCAGCACCTGATGTCATTTTCTACGAAGGACTTACCCTACCAACGTACCTCGCCAACCTGCAAGAAGGAAATCTAGACCTCTCGGATAAATTTCTTGGCAACCGAGCCTTCGCTTCGGCAGAAGATGAAGCTGACTGGGACGAGCAGAACGTGGAAGGAGCCTCGGAAGCAGCCGGACCTCTCCCTTACTGCTCCGTCGAGGTTCCGACGGACGACGAAAATCCTCGCGAAAGCATCAACACCGACGCCTACTATCACTTCGCTGACAACGGTTACGTTACACCTGCACAAGTCAACACCAACGAAGCAGAACGCGTAGGACCCAATTTCATTCCTGACCCAGAAGCGGGAGAAGAAGCAGTCTATCCCAAGGATACAACACTCCCCCGCTACACACAGAGTGGCCTCCAGATACTTGGCCTCGTCACCGCAGTCCACGGCCCGGCGCCTCCTAAGGAGCCTGCCACAGTTCAGCAGGCTCTGGGGGGGGAGCATAGGGAAAAATGGCGCGAAGCCATGGACAGGGAGTTAAAGGCGCTAGAAGAGCGCAACACCTGGAAAGTAGTTCCCATCAGCGTGGCACGAAACAAGACAATCTTTACTGGAAAATGGGTCTTCCGTGTAAAGACAAAGGCAGACGGCACCCTCGACAAATTCAAAGCACGCTGGGTCGTACGCGGCTTCGACCAAGAGCACGGACGCGACTTCACCGAAACATTCGCTCCGGTTAGTCGACATACCTCATTACGGATTCTCCTCGCGATAGCCGCCATGAAGCGGAAGAAGAAGCTTCGCCGAATCGACGTCGCCAACGCCTTTCTCTACGCACCTGTCGACGCTGAAATTTTCGTCGAGCTACCACACGGCTCCAACACGGACTCCAACCAAGTCTGCCAACTGCTAAAATCCTTGTACGGCATCAAACAGGCCCCAAGACTGTGGCAACAGTACCTGCACGCTAGACTCATCCGCATCGGATTCCGCCAGCTACCGCACGACCAGGGCATGTACCGCCTTACAAAGGGCACCGACTACATTCTGCTGATCGTCTATGTAGATGATCTACTCTACATCGGCTCGACCGACGGCATCACTACCTGGTTCGAAGGGGAGCTGCAGCAGGATCTCACCCTCACGGTCTCGTCCACCATCACGCAATACCTCGGCCTCAACATCCAGGAAGAAGAAAATGCAATCTACCTCAGCGCCGCGAAATACGCCGACACCATCGCCAAACGTTTCGGACTCACACCAACTACCATCTCCACGCCATACCGCTACACCGCCGGAAACTCCAAGGAAACCTCCGTACTACTCAAACCTACCGGCATACGCGACTACCAGCGAAAGCTAGGCTGTCTGCTATTCGCATCTGTCACCTGCCGACCAGACCTATCGTATTCGGCAAGCCAGCTCGCTACCTACCTCAAGAAACCCGAAGCAGAGCACATGGCGGAGCTCGACCGCGCACTTCACTACCTCGTCAGCACCCCGACGATCGGTCTAACTTATCACAAGACCGGAACCACGCCACCTAAGCTAATCGGCTACGTCGACGCCGATCACGCCGGCGACTCTGACAACAGGCGCTCGCGCACCGGCTACGTCTACCGATTCGAACCTATCGGGCCCATCTCATAAGTATTTTACTGTTGCTGTTGCGGTTCGATACAGTGACGACTCGGGCAACCGCTCAATAACGAGTCGGTTGTGTGTCCTTGCTGTCGTGCTGTACTTGTCAGGTCAAAGGTCGCTTGACCTTTGACTTTCGCGTAACCTCCAGCAATTACTTTCTTCTCAACCTCCGAGGGTTGACTCGCCGATGCTTCGTTGTGTTTTGATTCGTTTACGGCTTAGTGTTTTGACATGACAGAGGCACTTAAATCACTTGTTTCCAACACTCCCCTTTGCTTCTGGAGTGTCGTTGCAGATGACGTGGCCCTGTCCAGTCAGCAGCATGCAGTACTCGAACTTCTGCTTTCCGAGCTTCTTGGTCAAGTAGTCAGCTGCCATCTCGGACGTGGGGCAGTATGACAGCTCGAGTCTCCCCTTCTCGATCTCGTCTTTCACGAAGAAGTATCGCAGAGCGATGTGCTTCGTCCTGTTCGCGAATCCGTTTTTGTTCGCGATGCGGATTACTGAGTGGTTGTCGCAGAACAGGGA